AGGTAGAGTTTCATTTCGAGACGATTACCGGGCTAACGAGCTTTGAAAATCAAGGAAATTGTATCGTGGCCCGGGAAGTCCGGTCGGTGAAGTGCAACGGTCTGGCTGTTTAACAGCGAGCCGCCGCCGCCGCCTCCTCGCGAGCGATAATAAGCCACTCGGCTTATGCGGTGGTTCGCTCGTCCAATATCCTTAATTCCGAAAGCTCATTGCGCGGGGTAAATAGAGCTTAAAATTAAACTCCGCCGGCTAACTTTCTTATCGCGCGAAGAATCTCCGGCCCGTATATAATGCGATCTTGTTATCGGCCGTGGCAGTATTTTTAGCAAGGGGGAAGGTGGGGGGACGAAGGAGGGGGCACGCGCGGAAAGTCGGCCGCGTGCTGTCTGCTCAGCAGGTGGATCGAACGCAACCCTCGTATCCCGGTATGGATCGGGGCCACGTTCTTCCAGGGTCTTTGCTGAATTAAAAACTCGTTCCGTGCTGGAAATTATGGGTCTCGTTCACACGGAATGTCCATGATTTCTGTATGGTGTAGGAAACGGTTCCGTACGGTTCTCAAGAGGAATACATTAGGAGGTATCTCTGCGGCGGAAGTTTACCGTGCGAGCGGTTTGTTTGTTAGACAAGGAGATGCTCTTCCTCGCAGATCGTTGAAATTACGAGCGGGCTCGGGTCCGGACGTGGACGAGATAAATTGTTTCGGTTCGCGAATCGCTGCCTCGAGTGTGAAGACAGGCGCTTCCGCGTTGCGTCGTTACGGTACGAGGAATCCGACAGCAGTCGCGTTCAATCGGGAATTATATCCCCGATGTTTTGCCAGCTAGTTTCTTCAGACGTTGGATATGATGTATGAGACTTTGTCAGAGTATCGGGTTACAGATAAGTTTTTCACTAAAATGACAAATGAAACAATGATGTTATGTATAATTGTGCTGACTTGGATGAGTAGGTTTTATTCTGTATACCTTACGAAATACACATGTAAACCAGACTAACTGAAATCTGAATTGATCCAAATATACCTTTCATTCAATGTAATCGTTCAATCATTCACTGATGATTTCGTCCTCGCGATAATTTTATAAACATTCAGTGTCCCTTTACGCGTCTAATTTTATTCAACGTAATCATTCCTAAACGAGAGATCCAATCTCTCATAATTCGCGTAGAAGTTTCAATTTGTTCGCGCGATGACTTTTCAACGTACAATCCAAACACTCTCCTTCTCCATACAGCTTCAACTTTCCAGGTCAAGTATGCACCATTCACACCTGCCTATCTTTATAAGATCCTATCGCTTTTAGAAAATCGGCACACGACCTTTGAGGAAGCTACGTAATACCCCGATGTTCCAATGCGAAATCGCAATTCGTTCATTCAAATCGTGTGTTCCTTGGGGTATTTTTGAGAAAGAGTCGAGCACGTTAATTCCGTTGGAGCTGCGCAGCTGTAAAGGTTGAGCGTCGATAATAACGGCGTTCCATCGTCGATGAAGTGGCCTGGAATCGAAGCTGCTTTGTCGTTGTTCTCCGCGTCGACGTTGTACATAAATGGGTCAGAACGGTACGCGATGATTAAACGGCGATTGCTTTCCCACCTTGTACCACTGTCTACCTTCTCACCCTCTCGCTGTTATCCTCCGCCTCCCTTGACACCGCTGCGTTGAAAGCCATTATCTCGAAATGCGCACCGACACACATAAATAATTATAAATATCTACATCACTGTCTAAACGTCAGTACCGTCTATAAATAATTTTTTTTT